TTGATATATGGGATGCCATTCTTTCTGAGATGGAGGATACACTTGCAGAGGGATTCAGAGGTCACAGTCAACTGTCGTATGCTCATTGGATCACTTTTCTGATTCATAGGATAGTCACAGTGAGACCTCCTGAGATGTTAGCAGAGTATTCTGGTGCTACTACCGAGTTCCCTTCATACAACATGACCCAGATGCTCCATCACAGCAGGGCGAGGACACCTAGCCAGCCACGCCGTCGCCTAGAGGTGCCAGAGACTGCAGCCCAGCAGGACGAGATTATCAGGGACATTGCAGCGATAGAGGAGGAGCAGCTAGATGCACAGCCAGAGGGTATGGTCGAGAGTGACCCCAGTGATAGTTCAGATGATGACTACCAGGATATCCCTCGGATGCCTCCTCGACGACATGACAGTGAGGCCGATGGCTCCATCTTACCTCCACCGCAGCCACCACAGACAGACCTCGCTCTACTTGCTATTCTTGAGCGGATGAGGCAGGATCAGGCTCGCTAGGCACAGGAGACTGCAGCTGCACTTGCACAGGTTTAGGCCAGACAGGATGAGTTCCAGCGACAGCAGCAGGCTATCCAGCAGCAGCAACTCCTCATTCAGCAGTAATTACTTGGTTTCATGCAGCATGTCGTTACTGCCATTGGGGCTCCACCGCCATAGCTTACACCTCAGCTCGGCCAGCCTGCCACCACTACAGTGACTCTAGGTTTTTAGCCCAGTGGGCTTCAGAGTCAGGGACAACCAACTACCATGTTCGCTTCACCTACAGAGCAGGTGTCCCAGTGGTTTGCATCGCCAGTGCCAACCCAGGGTCTTTCCTTCACACCTCTACATACGGGCTTCACATCGGCTCAGAGTTCGTTGATGCTTGTGACAGACACCCCAATTTCCAGGAGCCTTGGTGCTACTTTTAGTGAGTTGACAGGGCAACCTACACCGCCAGAGCTACGTGTCCCTGGACCTTCCACCGTTGCTCTAGTTACTGGGACTACAGAGACGCTCCCATCATCAGTTGCATCATCAGAGCCACCTGCTACAGTCATACCTGTAGAGTCACAGGTCGTACCAGTTCCAGAGCAGACCTAGACCGCTTCAGCGTCACTTCCAGCGGCAGAGGGTCAGACAGCTCAGAGCTCCGGATCAGAGGATGATGCTACCTAGTTCCAGATCGCTTATCGCACCTCAGCGCCCGACTCGTCCGCTGCTGCCCCGCCGACAGACCCTTAGGTTTTGGTGCTTGAGGCCAAAGGGTGAGAGGGATCGAGAATGATAGACATAGGGGGAGCGATATATCTAGGGGGAGCTTATTTATTACATTTGAGTTTTTTTATGTGTGATACATTATTATACATTCATGTTTACTTTCATGCATTGAACTACATACGTGTGATCGTGATATTTATGTGATACTGATATTTATATGATATGTGACATGTGTGCTCTCTACTTTGATCTTTATATATGTCATATCACTTGGTTATGCTCATTTGCTTTGCTTCCGCGTTTTACTCCGATGCAAATAAGCTTTATTTCTTGTACTCATGCTTATTTCATATCTATTGAGTACATCATGTTTGTAACGTCCCGCCTCCTCGAGGCTAGGCCCGCTTACATCTGATAGCTTTCCTAGGACATAGACTGCCCTCACAGACCAACACCAGTCTTTTCTGCGCACTTTGTCCTCACTCATGCGCCCCCGGGAAGAACTTCCCGGTCGGTCACCCATCGCTCCAGGCCAAGCACGCTTAACCTTGGAGTTCTTAAGAGATGGGCTTCCAGAAAAGAAGTTGCAACTTGTTGGTACGAGTATCCTATTAATCCTATTAAGCCCTGAGCCGGGGTGTTACAATGTTGACTTGGGTCATATAAGCTTGCCTAACTCTTTTCTTCTTATTGTCAAAAGCTTATATGAACCAAGCATGTTGAAAACCTCATCTCTTTTATATACTCGAGGTTGTATTGTCATCAATCACCAAAAATGGGGAGATTGAAAGTATCTAGACCCCTAGTTGGGTTTCGATGATTAATAACAATACGTGATTACTATGACTAACATGTGTTTTGCAGAGGCAATTAAGTTAGGTCATGGTAATGACAATTGATTGGGCATTCATGGTTGTCATGCCCCTACGATGGAAATCATTTCGGTTTTCAAAGGATGGACGACAAGGTTAAGGATGGACTAGTTCTAAGTGTCGTTTGGTGTTGAAGAGACACTTAGAGTAGTTTAGGACTTTGTTTTTCCTTTGGCTGTACTATTAAGAGGGGTATGAACTAGTAGCTTGACTTAGGTGAGTCTAGTGGGTTAGGTGTGGTACACACTTATCAAATCTAGCACTAGGTAGCTCCGAAGTAGCCCTAAGATCAATTGGAGCAAACTTCATTCACATATGATTTCGAGTTGGAAGTGAATGCAGGGTCAAATGTTGACCGGACACTGGTCCCGGTGTGACCAGACACTGGCAATAGAGTCCGGTCAGTTCATTTGATCAAGGTGAAGTCGTCTGGTTGCGACCGGACGCTGGGTGCCAGAGTCTGGTCAACTCCAGTAAGGTTCCAGAGAGGGAGAATCTCGATCGAACGCGTCCGGTCAGTGATGACCGGACGCTGGTCAGGTTCCGGTTGCTGACCGGACGCTGAACAGCGAAGCGACCGGACTCTGAGTGCCAGCGTCCGGTCAACATCAGGAAGGGTTCAGAGAGCAGTTTTTGTGACCAAACGCTGGTCAGAGTCCGGTCACAACTTAACGGCTCTATGGCGAGGAGAACTGACTGGAGCGTCCGATCACCTTGACCGGAGCATCCGGTCACCCTACAGAGTGGTGTTTCCACCTCCTAACGGTTCATTTTGAATAATGGAGTATAAATACTTTCTCTATTCATCCAAGGGAGGCCTCTTGCCCATTTCAACAGCTGAGAAACACCCTTGAGTGTGCTTAGGAGAGCAAAAGCCTAGTGAGGTGATTGAGATTTGAGAATCCAAGATTAAGGCCTTATTAGTGCAAGGAGAGTAGCAAGTGTGCATCCACCCTTCTCATTAGGCTTGTTGTGGTCAAGTGAGAGTTTGTGCTTGTTACTCTTGGTGATCGCTATCACCTAGACGGCTTGGTGGTGATCGGAAGTTTGGTGATCATCCGGCGGAGCTTGTGGATGACCCAACTCAAGTTGTGAGCGGTTGTGGGTGATTCACCGCGATGAAGTGTCAAAGAATCAACCCGTAGAGAGCACTTGATCCTTGCATGGATCAAGGGGGAGCTACACCCTTGCACGGGTGCTCCAACGAGGACTATTGGGGAGTGACGACTCTCCGATACCTCGGCAAAACATCCCCACGTGTTTTCTCCTCTCTTTACTTTGAGCATTTACTTTTGAGCAATTCAATTCTTGTCTTTACATTCTTAGAATTGCCATGCTAGAGTAGGATTGAAACTTAGGGTGCTAAACTTTTGTGCGGTAGATCATTAGAATCATATTCTAGACACAAGGGGTAAAGTGGGCTAAATGTAGGGTTTAATTATTGCAAAGAATTTTAGAATTAGCCTAATTCACCACCCATCTTAGACGTCTTGATCCTTTAAGATGGTTCCACCCTATCCGCCGGTGGCTTCGGCGATTTGTTCTTTGGTGGCATGATAAACTCAAGCGACAACCACGGTGGACGCCAATGTTATTCTAGGCCATAACCTTAGAACCCTTGGTTGTCACTCGAATCAACAACAAACCTGACGAAGAACAAACTGGCGAAAGGTCACTACAAGTGACCCGACCTGATATCAACGGTTTGAATCAAGGTTTTTTCTCCTCTTACAACCCCCGCAGGAGCACTATTTATACACTTCCGTAGCACTTTACATGGACACAATTACCCCTGCAACTGCCCCGATCTGGGGGAATATTCCTATTCGCCAAGGGTAATCCGGTCTTCTCCGTCTTCACCTCCCTCGGGTTCCAACCACCCTCGCCGCAGGCCGGTGGTCCCACCGGCCAGCTGTAGCCGCTCGGGCCACGTACCGCCCCTTCCTTAGCGACGAACAGGCAGAGAGTTCCTGCAATGCCAAAGAAAATTGCCCTGTGAAAACGCTCAGCCGACCCCGTGTCCTTCTTAGCTGCCCGCTCTTGCGTCGTGCAAAAGCACGTGCGATGACCGAACGCTCCCTTTCGCTCTCAATGGGACGCGAAAGGCGCCGACCGCTATACAAATCCCCCTTTCTCCAGCAGGGGGTGCGAAAGCTGATGGGCGTAGCCCAACAATTATAAATGTCAATTTTTTTGCGAGCACCTCTTTTACCTATCATTTTCCATGCTATGAAGCTTCTCATGAATATATTTTTGCTTTTAGTTTTAAGGAAGAATAGATCAATATCCTAGAATAGATCAATATCCTAGAATTAGTACTGTTTGAATAGATTGTATAAGGTGCTCATCAGCTACCTCATCAGCATCGAAATTCTCGCACCTTAATGTTAACAATTATTCTCCAGATCACCACAATAGCAAAGTGGTTCTCTTAACGCATCTCATGATCAATACAATGTAATGTAGACATGCTCAAGTAAAGAAGTATATACCTTATCATAGGTCACCCGACCTGATCCACCCAAAAAAAAACCCAACACAGCCTAACTCTACTTGAGCATCAAGTGGGCTAGGCTCTTAATTTTTTTTATCGCACTGTTTTAGTATGACAGCTACACATTTGGAAAGAGTCAGATCAATATGTGATTGTTTATGTCAGCATATTTGAGTGTGTGTAAAAATATTCACAGCATGCAAATTGTGCTCAAATCTAGGATGTAACCTTCTCATGGTGATATTAGCTTCCATAATTGCTCAATATAGTGTAAACTGAAAAACTACTGGGAATTCTGAACATGCTTGTACAGTGGAAATAACGCAAAACTTGGACTTAACATGGTGCTACAGTCATCTATATTTTAAGAACAGCACATGCTTTGCTAACTTGTTGAGCTCCTCAAATTGTTTAGCCTACTCAGCCAAACACTAACTGATACAGTCTCTTGTCAGTGCTAGAATATTTTGCAGGCACACTCTTACATAGACTTTTGGTAGGGAATAGGGTGAGCTTTTCTTGACTGTAATATAAAGGAACTGTAAAATCATCATCATTAGTCAAATTCTTTCCTGAAGAATTCTTATTGGTGTTATTTGTATGTTTTGAACTACACTTTGTTGTTGGTCCTGAAGCATTGGTATCGTTGCTCTTAAGATGTGAGGACTGCCTCCCAGATTCAGCTCTTGTACCATTGGCAGCACGCCCATTGGAGTTGGCACTCATATGGTGAACGAACAGGTTCAGTTGAAGGCACACAAAATGATGAGAAGAGATGTCTATCGTTGCCGCCAACCTAGAGGCAAAGGTGCAGGTGGTGCCACACTGTCATAGGTAAGATGTATCCTGTTCCTGTCACCATCTACTCCTATATACCAAGAACGCCTGAGCACACTGCAAGAAAGAAGGCTTCAAAGGAAAAGCTGTGGATGATAATATATACATATAACTCGGCTACTAATCACAGAAAAAGATTAGGTGCCTAGGCAGCTCTATAACATAAATATAAATAAATATATATTTGAGCTAGCAACAAAATTTTTTAATTAACATGTAATAAAGATGATGCTATATAAATGATTGAATAATAAGTATCATTTTTTAGTTGGCTCGGTTCATGTGAGTTGGAACCGAAATTTGATTTGTGCAATCCGACTCCATCCGTCCCTCCCTGACATTTATCAACATCATGGTAGCTAGCTAGTACTCCTACCACAACATTTAACAAAAATCGACTAACAAGCGACACACAACCCCAGCAAATTGGATTAATCGAAGGGCTAACCTGACTCGCAGATGTGGATTGGATGCGCATGCCATGGGGACGCCAGAGTGGAGGGCGTGGTTGGTACAGAGGTGTTGTGGCGGTGGGAGGGGATGCCGATTGTTCGTAGAGCGCCAGCTTGTTCCTGGGCAGCGCGTTTGCCTCTCCTTTGCAGCACCAACCGCCTCTGGCATCCGTGTCTGCGTCCACCTCCGCCTGAAAGGAGCACGAGCAGAGATGGAGTATGAGTGAAGTCTACGTGGGCACGATGGGGAGGGAGGGAGGGAGGGAGGTTGGCGCAGACGGCTGACGCGTAGATCGGGAGGCGAGGCGATGCAGATCGGGACTGGGGCACACACGTGAAATCTCGGTAGCAGAGAACTGCTGCAGAGGCGACGGTCCCAGATGTGTGGATTTGCAAGAGGAAGCGTACCTTGAGGACTGAGGAGCCAGCGTTGGCGCCGGGCGCGGCCGGACGGAGCTATGCTGGGCGGGGCGGCATGGCGTAGCGGTCGGGCGGGACAGGAAAGAGGGGGCTAGGGGGCGGTTGCCAGGCGGCGCAGCGAGGCGTTGCCGCATTGGTGTGGCGGAGCAGGGGGCGTCCACCGCGAGATGAGGCGGGGCGGGGGCTGATGGGCGAAATGGCAGCTAGGCGGTGAGGCGGCGTGACGGCGATGCGGCGGCGGACGTGTAGGGCTAGAGGGGCCGGTGACGTGCGACTCGGCGGCTGGCCCACATGTCGGCGCAAATAGGAGTATCGGGGTGCTATTGGCGCGCATCGGCTTCACCACGGGCGGTAGACGGGTCCGTTTGCCATTTTTTAGCTGTAGAGATTGAGAAGATAAGAGACACACACGAGCGTCTATATCCGCACTAAAGAGGTGATACTAGGGAAGGGATTTCCGGATTCCGAATCCCGTCTTCCTCTCCGGCTCTCCCCTTTCTTCCACCGGTCTCTTCTCGCTTACATTCTCCACTGCGATGCTAGGCTGCCCGCGCTCGCAGCACTGCAGCAGGGAGCGCCCCGCGCAATTGGGTTCAGCATCCTGCCTGTTCGTGCAGCTGGACTGGAGTCCGGGCGCCAGCGCGGAGGCCGTCCATGCGAGCCGCTCGTCCCTCCGGACGGCCCGCACTTTTGAGGCGAGGAGGCCCCTCCTTGGATTGACGGTGAGCCGCCACTGGTGTTTCTTGCAATTTTTTTGTGTGCATGCACAAATGCGCCTAAGGACAGTTGAACAACGCCGCGAGCTTGTGATACAACCTTCATACTTCGGTCTGTGCACCTGGTATTTCAGTTTTGCTTACTTAGCGATTATAATGATTATAATATAATATATCCGTCATCATGAGTTCCAGGATGCATCCTGGATTTTTCTTGGTAAAATATCAGTGCCAAACTAAACTTTCTTCAGTTCTTGTGCAAGTTAATCGGTCTGAATGTACAGACCTTGTGATAGCAATTATTCAGGAATCAGAACAAGCAACCGCTCTAATGATTGCAAAACATAACTGCGAAAACAAAAATATATTACGATGGTTCTCTTGTAGCTGTGTCCGGTAACTCTATTCCTCTTAATGAAACACGGGCTATAACCCCAATCACGAAAAAAAAAATACAGTTGAACCCACGAGAACAAGAAATCAAAAAAGCCTCATGTTACAATATGATTGTCTTTGAAGTCCTATAAGCAATGGCCTAAACAGTTACCCATATTGTTGAATGATCTGGATAGATGGGATGTGTTTGACCCTAACAAAATCTTCACTAAGTTCTCCCAATCTATCAGTAAACGAGCTTGGCATGCCCACCAATCTCAGTCTCTGCAATGTAGCAAGAGACTGCAACCCAGTAGGAACTGTCGCTAGATTTTCACATGACATGATCCACACTTCCAGGACACAGGGCATGGCTCCTTCATCGACATCCCATTCCTCCAGCTCCTCAAGTTCAGTTATGATAAATATTTTCAGGTTTGGAAAGCCTGGACAGCAGCATCTCATCGCTTTTCCCTGGTATGCTTTGTTCAGCTGGAGGAATAGCAGATTTGGCAATTGAGCGAGAACTGAAAGTGGATCTTCTTCCAGTTTTGAGAAGCTCAAGCGTAGCTTTGTAAGCTTATCTAACTGAGTGAACCAATCTGGCAATTTCTGTAGTGGTCCAGCTATGTGCAGCTTCTGTAGACATGATGAAGGCTTCAATGTTGCAATGTCAAGAGGTCTGATGCCATCACCTGAGAAGATGGATAGGTATGATAGTTCTTTCATATTGTTCACTGAAGAACACAGTTTTTCTGCATCTTCATTGTTTAAGTCCTCTACAGCAAGCTTTTGAAGCTTAGTAAGGCTTGCAATCTCATGAACAACAGTTGCACTTGCTTGCAAACCAGTTAATACTTGGAGTTCACCAAGCTGGGAAAGTCCTGTCAGGACCTTGATGCTTTTGCCATCTTGCTTCATCTCTAGGTTTCTTAAATTCCTCAAACACTTGATTTGAAATGCAATTATACTTATCCAAGTCTTCCTGATATCAAGAGTTTGCAAGTGATAGAGTTTCTGCAGTGTTCTTGGGAGCTTCTTCAATTTTGTTCCTCTTAGCCCAAGATACCTCAAGTGTAGTAGTCCTCCTATCTCTTTTGGAAGTTTTAGCACATTGGCATTTTCTAAATCCAAAATTCTTACCAGTTTAAATCTCTTTGCAACAATGTTGCTTTTCAATACAACAGGTGCACTACCACTGAACATGAAAACAGATCGCATTTTTTTCATGTGTTCTTTGTGGAATTGCACATGAGATGTCTGTAATGAGATGCGCCGAGCACTAGTGCTTGCACCTTTATCATGACAAATGACAGAAAAGTTTCCATTTTCAGACAGCGAGACGGCAAGATCGTGAAGAAGATCATGAATTCTGCATGCTTTTACTCTCCCGCTGCTGCTAACGACCGACGCTTCTATCATGCTTCTGTTAATGAGCTCCATGAGGTACTTCTCTGCAGTTGTTTCAAGTGTCTCATCATTTTTCTTTTTCACAAACCCTTCAGCAATCCATAGTCGAACTAGTTTCTTTCGTGAGATCTCTGAGTCGTATGGAATGACAGAAAGCAGCAGAAAACATGGCTTCAAAGGGTGTGGAAGATCTTTGTAGCTTAAAAAGAGTGCTCGGTGGACTCCCATTTCACCGTTGCTTAAGTCCTTCTGAATACTCTCCAAGACACAAGTCCATTCGGTGTCTGTTTTTTTCTTCCTTGACATCATGCTCCCTGCAGCAACTATAGCAAGGGGCAAACCAACACACTTCCTCACAATGTCCTTAGCGGTCTCTGTCATGTCATCAGGGCATACCCCATCTGTCAAGAATGCCTTTCTACAAAACAAATTGTAGGAATCTTCAAATGTCATTGGCTGAAGTCGATGGACATCACTTCTCGCATCAATAACTGACTCAGCCACGACAACGTTACGCGTTGTCACAAGGACCCGGCTCCTGCCATTCTTAGGCAATACCAGCTTGATCACATCCCAGAGCCCTTTCTCCCAGACATCATCAAGCACAAGCAAAAACCGCATACCTCTGAGGCCACTCAAGAGCAGTTCTTGGAGTTGCCCCTCACTGAGAGAGTTTGCCTCGGCAGAGGGGATCCTCACCAGCCCCCTGGCCATCTCACGAAGGACACCTCGCAGCTCCATCTTATTTGAAACATAGACCCATGAACTGCGATCGAAGTGCCTCTTCACATCTGGGTGGTTGTACACCTTCTTGGCAAGCGTGGTCTTCCCAACACCACCCATGCCAACCAAGGACATGACGCTCATCTCTGATTCCTCACCCAAAATATGCTGAAGCAACGCGTCCAGGTCTCTATCCAGGCCTACAGTATCTTTGTCATGAACTAGGGGAGACGAGGCTAAGAGACCAATGATGTTATCACTGGAGTCTGCTGGTTTGTTGGTTAGGTTTGGGTACTCAGACCGACGCCGAGAAATGTCGCTCAGCTGCTTCTTGATGCGCCTGATCTGAGCCTCCACTTTGCTCCATGCTCTCAAGTTACCGAGGATGCTGCAAGCACGCACCTGATTAGCATCGAAGGCATCGAAGACGTCCTCCGAATCTAGCATGATGTCCCTCATCTGGTGGACCCATGCTTCTGTGGTCGCGCTGCCATCGCCGCTGCACGTCTCCACCTCGTGCAGGAAAAGCTGCATGCTGTGGAGCTCGTCACGTAGCCAGCAGACATCCTGGCCTGTGGTCAGGAGGCGACGGGCTTGGTCGGCTACTCTATGCGTAAGCAGGGATGCTATGCCATGGATCAAGGAAGCAAGGATGGGTTCCGCCATGGGGAAAATACCTTTGGTACAGGGAAGGATGGAACACTAACACAGTCGACTTCCTGCTTTGTCTTGGTCAACGTCAACCGGCTTGTGGTTGTTGTATAATTTTTATTTTCATTTGAGTAGATATTTTTCCCACTTGCATACGACTTGATTATTATTTTTTATTCCGGCGAGCGGCCCAAGAATAAATTAGTTCTTATAGTAACAGAAATTAGAGTATTAAACAAGTTGTTGCCAAGAAGCATGCATGTATTGGTTGTTAGCCCACGGGATCACCGTCTGACGTTAGTGAACTAGTCTCCAGACCACTAGTCTCAGATCACTAGTCTTTCAGATCAGACCACTAGTCTCTCAGACCAGACCACTAGTCTCCCAGATCAGACCACACTAGTCTCCTAGACCAGACCACTAGTCTCCCAGACCACTATACCGGTTGTGTCCGCACTCACACACTACGGATCGAGCTAGAAGAAGAAGGGAGAACAGAGCAAGTACGCACAATACAAGACAACAACATTGGCCGAGGCTCTGTCTGTGTGATGATAAATCTGAGCTCTATTTACTGAGTTGCCTTGGTGCCCTATTTATACAACTCTATCTATCTAACTAAAATACAGTAGCACATGTCGTAATAAAGAACTAGATAAGCATACAAGGGTCGACTCTGCTGCGGCCATTTGCATGTGCCTACAAAGGTCTGCAGTGAACCGTGCGGGCCGCCGCACTGCAGTGTAGCTGGTTATAGTATTACAGCAGGAGGCAAAGTCGGCACCGTCTTCCTCTGCTGTGTTTCATATAAGGTGGCAGTAGATTAGCTAACAATCTTCCCCTAATCCTACTGCTAACCCTTGCACCTCCTCCATGCCGATCATCTCCTTCACTCCGTGAGTCAAGTCGTCCGAAAGCGGCTTGGTGAGGACGTCCGTGAGTTGCCGACTCATTTCGACAAACTCGATGACGATCGCCCTCCATCAACACATCCCCCGAGGAAGTGGAACTTCACGTCGATGTGTTTACTCCGGCCGTGCGTAACCGGATTCTTCGCGAGGGCGATGGCGGTGGTGGTTGTCCACCATCGGTCTTTGGTGGGTGAGCTTCCACGCCGGTTAGCTTCGCCGCCCAAATACCGCGGCCAGAGCCACACAACTTGGCACGCCATTGCGGGCCGCCGCCACGCACTCGCCTCGCATGTAGATAGCGCCACCACCTTCGTTTCGGCCGACCATGAAATTGGGGCCGACCCGAGGAAGACGAGTACGCCAGAGGTGCTCGTCGTCCGTCGATGTCCCCACCATGTTCAGATCATCCGAACACCGTGAGTCGCAGCCTACTTCCCCGGTCTTTGGGAAGATGATTCCATGATTCACCGTCCCCTTGACGTAGCGTCGTAGCCGCTTCACCGCAACCCAGTGATCATCTCTAGGATCCTCCATGAAGCGACTAACGTAGCCCACGACGAAAGCAATGTCCGGCCTTGTGTGGACTATGTAGCGCAGATCACCGACGAGCGATGCTGTAGAGAGTGTTGCATCTACTTTCTCCGTGGTGTCTTTGTCCTTCGTCGCCTTCACCGCTCCTCCATCGGAGTCACGCATGGCTTGCACTCCACCATGTCGCCTCCTCTCCAATGACTTTGAGGCATACGGCGCTTTGTCCGAGCGTGAGTTTCTCCTTCCCCTGTCTCACCTCGATGCCGAGGTAGTAGGAGAGAGCGTCGAGATCGCTCATTCGAAAATGAGGTGCCATCTCTCACTTGAAGCTGTTGATATCCTCCGCATGCGCGCGCGGTGATTTATTAAGTCATCCACATACATGCCGACCACGAGTTCTTCCTTCCCCCGTCGTCGCGTGTAGAGCGCGTGCTCGGTTGCGCACCTCTGAAACCCAAGCTCGCCCAGCGTGGTGTCAAGCTTGGCGTTCCATACTCGAGGGGCTTGCCGCAGCCCGTAGAGCGCTTTGCAGAGTCGGAGCACCCTGTGCTCCTCTCCCTTGACAGCGAACCCTGGAGGTTGCCTGACGAAGACCGTTTCCGCCAGCTCGCCGTTGAGGAAGGCCGATTTAACGTCCAAGTGATGGACGCGCCAGTCCTTTGCTGCCGCCAAAGCAAGTAGCAAACGGACCGACTCCATGCACGCTACTGGTGCAAATACCTCCTCGAAGTCGATGCCCTCGCGCTGGACAAAGCCTCGGGCGACGAGGCGCGCCTTGTACTTGACAATGGCGCCGAGCTCGTCCCTTTCCCACTTCAGGTTGATCGGACGGCATCCTGGGGGTGGATCGAAGGAGCTGCCAAGTCTTATTTTTCTCGATCGCCTTCATCTCCTCCAGCATTGCCCGTCGCCAATTTCCATCGCGCTCGGCTAGCGCGAACGTGGGTGGTTCCTCTGCACTGATGAGTAGCAGCTCTGCGTCCGTTGAGCGGCCTACCCGCCAGACTCGAGGGGCTCGTGCCACCGACGATGTCGCCCCACTGTGGAACCTCAACTCCTCACCTTCGTGGTAGGCGCCCACGAACTCGGTGATGTCACTTGGAGGTGAGGCGAACTCGATCGGGGTGATGAAGTTCCTTCTTCCGCCGGAGTGCCCGTGATAGCACCCGAAGTGTTTCAAGATCGCTTCGGATCGCTCGTCATAACTCCCGCAGTGTTCGCCACACCTTTGTAGGAGTGCCTAGCCTTAGTCTTGGAGTGGTCGGAACCACAAGAAGACGCCTTGGCTCCGCCACGGAGTGCTCGGCACCCATCCTCGAAGTGGTCGCCACCATCGCAGAAACCTCCCGGCTCCACTCTCGGCGTGTTTCGGCATCCCTCTAGAAGTGCTCGACGCTCGTCCCGGAGTGCTCGGCATCCCTCTGAAGTGCTCGGCAGACCGCCCCGAAGTGCTCGACTTCATCGCCGGAGTGCTCTCGGCGCTCCTCCCGGAGTGCGTGGCACTGTTCGGCAGCCGTCTCCACCGCCGTGGATGACCAAGTGCTCGACGACGAAGGTGTTGGTGAAGCCTCCCGCTTTCTCTGTGCTCGGACTGCTTCGGTCCCTAAGCGCCTCCTCGTTGAACACAACGTCGCGCGAGACAACCACCTTGTCTCCGCGTGGGTCATAGAGCCAGACGCCTTGGTACCCTTCTTCGTAGCCCAGAACACCATGGGTGTGCTCCACATCCTCCGGCCAGTGAGGTTCGGCTTTGTCTTCCTAACGTGGGCCGATGCAACCGAATGTCTAGAGGAATGACACGCTCGGCTTGCTCCCCGCACCAAGCTTCGAACGGCGTCTTGCCCGTTAGGGCTTTGGTTGGAGCGCGGTTGAGGATGAACACCGCCGTGGTCACCGCCTCTCCCTAGAACTTTGTCGGCCTCCCTTTGGCCTTCATCATGGATCGGGCCATGCCGACCACTGTCTAGTTCCGTCGCTCCACCATGCCATTCTGTTGTGGCGAGTACGGCGCGGCGTGATGTTGCCCCACACCTTGATCCGCGCAAAGACGTAGCAAACTCCACCAAGTGAATTCGCCACCCCGATCGATCCTCAAGACATGGAGCTTCTTGCCGCTCTCGGCCGCAGCTGCGTCTTGAACTTCTTGATCGCCACCGCCGCTTCGTCCTTGCTCGTCAGGAGTTGCAGCCACATGTAGCGACTGCAATCGTCCATGAGTAGGAGGAAGTACCGCCGACCACCGCATGTAGCAGGTGTGATCGGCCCGCAGAGGTCGCCGTGAACTAGCTCGAGAGCTTCCTTCGCGCGATACTTGGCCGCCTTTTGGGAAAGGTAGCCTCCTCGCTTCCCGGCCAGCGGTACCGCCACACTCGCCTCCGTGTTTGATGTGGGTAGCCCTCGGACCATCTTCCCCACCACCAAGCTGCGTCGGCCGAGATAAACCAACCGGCATGCCACATCCACACAGTTCCTCTGAGTGCCTTGCCGCCAGTAAATCGGTCGCTTCTACCTTGGTCGGCAGTACAACCGGTTCAGTGGACCTCTTCACCTTGGCGAAGTCGCCGCCTCTCGGCCTCTCGATCCGTAACGCCGTCCTTGATCGAACCTCGCTACCACGCTCATCCGGTGACCAATGCCGATGATCTTTGGAATTTCTGTACTGGATGTAGTATACATCCGTTAGCGTATGTGCTCCCTGCTCGCATCTCAAGATGATGGTGCCACGCCTTGGATAGCCACCCTTGAGCCATCACCAAACTTCACCGCACGGTAACATCACCATCGAGCTCGGAGAAGGAGTCCTTGAGCCCGTCATGTGGTTATCGCACCGAGTCCAGATACCACCGCTATTCTCGGTCGACGCCCACATGCCCAAGATGAACTTGGGCGCGTGGTTCGTCGAGGTTGACGGTCTTCGTGGCCTTGCTAGATCCTTCCACCGTTGTCGATCTTCCCTCTCCATGGCCTCGACGCGCGTGTAATGCACGTAACGCCGCCATAAGGATAGTGGCCTCATCCTCATCATCGGGCCGCCAGTGAGCTCGAGCCTTCTTTTCCTTCTTGCGATTTGGGCACTCCTGCGCCCAATGGCCCATCTTCCCGCAACACCGACAGCGTTGAGTCGATTTGCTTCTTCTCCGAAGAAGCCCTACCGCTGATGTTTGCCGCTGCCACCGCGACCGGAGGAGGCCGCCTTCCGAAGTTTCGCCGAGCAACCCACTCCTCTTCCGCCGCCAGTGTTTCCAGCGCCGCCCTTCGTTCATCGCCGCCGCTCCAGCGCCGCCCACCGCCCGCAGACGACCGCCACATCCTCGATGGTGAGGGTGGACAAGTCCAGATCGTCTCTATGGAGAGAGCGATCTGGATGTACTTTGCTTAAGACGGAGTGGAGGAATTTGAGACCGCCTCCTCTTCGTCGATGGTGACGCCGTGGCTCTTCAAATTTTGCCGATGAGCGTCTCGCAGCGGAGTGAAAAGTCCTCCACCGTTTCACCATCCTTGAACTTGAGGTTTGCATACTCCGCTTCGTAAGCCGGGCCGCTGCCTTCTTCTTTGCGCTGGTGGTCGGAACCGACACGCATCGCCGCAATGGCCTCCCACGCCTCCTTAGCCGAGCTCTTTGTCCCCAACGGTTCCCTCAGACTCACGTGACAAGAGCGAGGATAGCCTCCAACGCCGACATGTCGTCTTCTTCCATGTCGGTGCCCTTGTCAACAGACATTCCGAGCCGCTTGCTCGAAGCTTGACCTTCATGGTCACCGACCACTCTCCATAGTTAGTGCGAGTCGGCGTCGGCCAAGTGGTGCCGCCGACCTCCCGCTGACATGCGGCGAACAACTACCTCGGTAGTGGTCGGGCAACTATGATGATTGTTAACGCCATCGTCCAACTCCAAACCGCCTGTCATCGCCGTCGGTTAGAATGACGACGGCGCTTGCACGGCTCCGATACCACTTGTTAGCCCACGGGATCACCGTCTGACGATAGTGAACTAGTCTCCAGACCACTAATCTCAGACCACTAGTCTCCTGCACTGCACCACTAGTCTTCCTGCACCACTAGTCTCCTGCACTGCACCACACTAGTCTTCTAGACCGCACCACTAGTCTCTGCACCACTAGTCTCCTGCACCACTATACCGGGTTGTGTCCGCACTCCACACACTACACGGATCGAGCTAGAAGAAGAAGGAGGAGAACAGCAAGCACGCACAATACAAGACAACAATGTTGGTCGAGGCCCCTGTCTGTGTGATGATAAACTGAGCTCTCTTTATCGAGTTGCCTTGGTGCCCTATTTATACAACTCTATCTATCTAACTAAAGTACAGGTGCATACATGTCATAATAAAGAACTAGATAAGCATACAAGGGTCGACTCACACATGGCCATCGTGATGTGCCTACAAAGTCTTGCAGGTGAACCGTGGGGGCGCCTGCACTGCAGCTGCCACAGATTATAAATAGGGGCAAAGTCGGCACAACCTTCCTCTACTGTGTTTCACATAAGGTGGCAGTAGATTAGCTAACATTGGTGTGGAGTAATATTACATGCTATATGAATGATAAAATAAATTAAAACAATTTTGATAAAAAGAAGTTGTAGCAATAACTTTGTTATTGAGGATAAAAAATAATGGTCTCTTCAGTTCGATGTGCAAGGCTAGGTCTATACGGATTATGAGCAATTACACTGTTTATCAAAGATGCAAGGCTTTACCGTTTAATTCTGTTAAAAGTCACTCTTCCCATGCTATGAGTAGTTAACAGCGAAAATATTATTACTTATGCATTATTCTTATTAGTATTAATAATTATTGTTGTGTCAGGGATGCGAGCAGTTGGAGTAGTCTTGTATAAGGTGCTTGTGATATAGATACATAGGTGTAGTCTTGGCTAGACCGATTAAATTTAACTTTGCATTTGTTTTGGTTAGCCGGTACAATTAGTTTTAGAAAAGACTCTTCCCACCCCTCTAATCAGCTCTTTGTTCCTAACACTAGGGCAGAATGAGGGGATTACATTCAAGGACTGTTTGGTTCATCCCCAAGCAACTCTTTCTGGCACTTTGAGCGCTCTCGGATGTTCGATTTCAAGCGTCTAGGGCTCAGATGTGTGCCTGGCGCTGAAGGTATCTAGGAGGGCACGAACCAAACTCGCCCTAATAGCTGGGTGGTTTCGGGTTACAGCGTGGTGGCAAAGAGCTAGCAGAGACGCGAGACTAGAACGGTGGTCATGTAGTATCTCACCGCTAAGGAAATGTCAAAAAGATGAAGAAGATCCAAAGCACAGTGAGGTAGAACAAACATAGCACCGTGAGTTAGAACAAAGGCTGAGATCATTAGATCTAAATCCATCACAAAAATCGAGTCTGATGGAGGTAATTTAATAATAATTAGATTTGAACCATCACACAAAAAATCAAGGACCTAAATACAATACAAATAATGATCAATGAGTGAGCGTCAACACAAGAATTTTTGCCTTGCTCCAAATTTTCGTGGCGTTGGCTGGACTTGGTAAAACTCAGGGTTGTTGCAACACTAGGAGAAAATGGCAGTCACAAATCAAAACTTACTTTCTGCAAAACATAAATCATCTATTGCAGCATTAGGAAATCATCCGTTGCAGTACCCCAAATGGTCTCATGCAACACAGAGAAACAATAAACACAACTTCATAAATCAGATGCAACAACATTGCCTACCATATGGGTTTGGATGTACAATAGCTAGGGGATGAGTTCAAGGGCGAAGGTTGCAGCTCCAACTGAATGCCCCGGCCCATAACCATCGAGCTCACCGTAGGGAGGAGCAAGAAGGTCATCACATTCTGTGTCCACTCCCACCATGGACAAGCCCACACAGCCATACCTGTCGTGGTTGCAGCGATAGTCTTTCGACTTTTCCATGAGCGGCGACGGAGCATGACCCCCCGCAGGAGACACGGGATAGCCAATGGTGGCTGCGCTCGAAGGATTTGGGAGCAAGCCAACGACGGAGGAAGCAAGATTGACAGATTTCGTTATGGGCAAGAAGGAAGTGCCGGAAGAAAAAAGAGATATTGGAGAGAGAAGAGAGAGTTGGGAATCACCGAGTGGAGGCGTAAGATATTTTATTTTCTTCAAGCGTGCAGTGGATGATACTGTGGATAGCGTGAGGCCACATAGTATCCGAAAAGGACCTGTGATGTTCTGATGCGTTCTCGCTGCGAACGCTACTTCACCATGTACGCCGTAGATCCCTCACTTTGGGTTAGCGTCACAACCATGTACGTGGAAGGCGCCGCTGCCGGCTGGTATGAGTCCATCGAAAACACTCTAGCCACTACCAATTGGATATCCTTCTGTCAAGCCTTGCATGATCGATTTGATCACAATCAGAAGGAAGCTTTAATTCGTCAATTGTTCCACATCAAACAAACTTCTACGGTGTCGGATTATGTCGAGCGTTTCTCAGTTTTGATCGATCGCCTCAAATCCTATTCTGCTTCTACTGATCCACTGTTTTATACCATGAGATTTATAGATGGCCTTCGGCCCGACCTCAAAGCTATGACACTGGTTTCTAGGCCACAAACACTCGATGCTGCTATCTGCATGGCTTTTGTGCAGGAGGAGGTGGCTGGCCAATCGGGCGCTCAGTCTTCGTTCTGTTCGTCGGCATCCGTTGAGTGGTCTCCTAAGCCCACACCACGGACCATGCTTCCGCTACCACCACCTCCGCCTCGTGTCGAGAAGCCCATGGCGAAGCCTGCAGCCGTCGAGCCCACGACAACGTCTTCGGCACCTGGTGCTCTAGCTGCTGTCAAAGCGTACCGTCGAGCCTTGGGATTATGCTACAAGTGCAACGCCAAGTGGAGTAAGGATCACCGGTGCGCACCAGAACTCTTGCATGCGATCGAAGCTCTTTGGGGATCGCTGGACCCTGATGTTGTGCCGGCTGCAGAAACATCTAATGATCCACCAACTGAACAAGTGTTTTTGGCCATCTCCAAGTCAGCCGTGTCTGGGGTATCTGCTGCTCGTACTATCCGGTTGTTGGGATCGACGTCAGGTATTCCAGTGCATATTTTGGTGGATTCAGGGAGCTCCTCCTCATTTATCAGTAACACTACGACTGTTAAGTTACATCACCTAGATTCAGTCTCTATTTCTAGTTGTGTGCAACTGGCTAGTGGAGGTGTATTGCAGAGCTCCTTGCTGCTTCGCCAAGTTTAGTGGACAGTTGGCTCCTGCTCCTTTCGCACTAATTTCCGAGTGCTGCCTTTGGGTAACTTCGATGCAATTTTGGGCATGGATTGGTTAGAAGCTTACAGTCCAATGCAAGTTCACTGGGCCTTGAAGTGGTTGGCAATTCCATATGATGGCCAGACTCAGGTGTTGCAAGGTTTACTTCCTGATGAACCAGAACAGTTGCTGTTGCAAACTGAAAATATAGTGCCTGCTCTTTCTTCAGATCCTGATGTCATCAATGTTCCAGCCCCAATCAGTCAGTTAATTGAAGAGTTTTCTGACTTGTTCCAGCCACCAACATCTCTTCCACCTTCTCGTGCTTGTAACCATGAGATTCCTTTGTTGCCTGGTGCTCAACCTGTCTTCATCCGGCCCTATAGATACCCGTCCAAACTGAAAGATGAAATTGAAGCCCATGTTCAGGAGATGTTGTCACAAGGACTCATTCAGCCGAGCTCTAGCTCTTTCTCCTCGCCGGTACTACTTGTCAAAAAGAAAGATGGCTCCTATCGGTTCTGTGTTGACTTCAGACACCTCAATGCTCTGACAAAGAAATCTAAGTTTCCTGTGCCGGTGTTTGACCAGTTGATGGATGAGCTAGCAAACGCTAAGTGGTTCTCAACATTGGATTTTCGAGCGGGTTTTCACCAAATACTGTTGCAGCAAGGTGAAGAATTCAAGACCGCTTTCCAGACTCACCTGGGCCAGTACGAGTTCCGAGTGATGGCGTTCGGCCTTACTGGCGCGCCAGGCACATTTCAGGGTGCCATGAATGGTACTTTGGCTCTGTTGGTTTTCTTCGATGATATCCTCGTCTACAGCCCCACTTTTGAAGCCCATGTCAACCACCTGCGGCAAGTTTTTCAGTGGTTACACGCTGATCAGTGGAAGCTCAAGCTCTCAAAATGTACCTTCGCTAGGGAGTCTATCTCTTACTTGGGTCATATCATGAGCAGCCAAGGCCTTTCCACGGACCCAGCAAAGGTGCAAGTAGTGCTCGAATGGCTCGTTCCATCTTCAGTTCGGGAACTCCGAGGTTTTCTGGGCCTTGCCGGCTATTACCGGAAATTTGTGCGTCATTTCAGCATCATTGCCAAGCCTCTAACAGATCTCCTGAAGAAAGATCAGCTGTTCATATGGACCTCAAACCATGAGTCTGCCTTCTTGGTGCTGAAACAGGCTCTCTGTACTGCCCCTGTCTTGGCGTTGCCGGATTTTAGCTTGCCCTTCCACATTGAAACTGATGCTTCCGGGACAGGCATTGGAGCAGTCTTACAGCAGAATGGGCACCCCATAGCATTCATCAGCAAGGCTCTAAGTCCCAGGAATCAAGGGTTGTCAGTCTATGAGAAGGAATATCTCTCTATATTGATGGCTGTCGAACAGTGGTGTCACTACTTGCTTCAGGGCGAATTCTTCATTCACACTGATCATCGCAGCTTAGCCCATCTTAATGAACAGAGGCTACATATTGCATGGCAACACAAGGTCTTCTCTAAGTTGCTTGGGTTACAGTATAAGATTCTGTACAAGAAAGGCTCTGAGAATGGCGCTGCAGATGCCCTATCCCGCCGAGTGCACCCAACCCAGAGCTATGCTATATCTTCAGTCTCCAACAATTGGCTCGATGAGGTGGTACAAGGATACTATTCTGATCAAGTTGCTATGGATCTATTATCTCAGCTGGCTGCCATCCCCGATAGCCGCCCTCCATTTTCTTTAGTCCAAGGAGTCATCAGATACAAGAACCGTCTGTGGCTGGGTTCCAATAAGCCCATGCAGCTTAAAATTATGATAGTACTGCATAGCAGTCCTTTGGGTGGACACTCAGGAGCCCCAGCGACATACGGTAAGATTAAAGCTTTGTTCTTCTGGCCTGGTATGAAGTCTGACATTTGGGCTTATGTTCAGTCATGTGCTGTGTGTTTGCAAGCCAAGCCGGACCGCTCCCGTTATCCAGGTCTCTTGCAGCCACTTCCAGTGCCATCTGCTTCCTGGGAGGTGATCTCAATGGATTTCATCGAAGGGTTGCCATAGTCTGACTCGTTCAACGTAATCTTGGTAGTAGTGGATAAGTTCTCCAAGTTTTCACACTTTATTCCTCTACGCCATCCTTTTACAGTAGCCTCTGTTGCCAAATTTTTCATGGACCAAGTGTATCGCCTTCACGGTCTTCCTCGAGCCATTGTCTCAGACCGTGACCGCATATTTACAAGTAACTTTTGGAAATCTTTGTTCAAGGTAGCAGGCTCTGAACTGCAGTTCAGCTTCGCCTACCATCCTCAGACGGACGGTCAGACCGAGCATGCCAACCAGTGCGTCGAAACATTTCTTCGCTGCTTTGTGCACACTTGCCCAGCTCAGTGGAGTCGTTGGCTGTCACTCGCTGAATTCTGGTATAATACATCCACCCATTCAGCATTGGGCCGTTCCCCCTTTGACGTCTTATATGGTTTCCGTCCACGCCTCCTGTCGGTGAACTTGGATGACGTGGCTCCAGTGCCTGAACTTCACAAATGGATGGCTGATCGAGAGCTCATACATAATGTTGTCAAGCAACACTTGCTCCGTGCCCAGGCTCGCATGAAACGCCAAGCTGATAAAGGCCGTTCTGAGCGTCAATTCTCCGTGGGTGACATGGTGTTTTTGAAGCTCTAACCCTATATTCAGTCCTCACTGTTCCACCGCTCCAATAACAAGTTGTCTTTCAAGTTCTTCGGACCATTTCAAGTTATTCAAAAGATTGGTCCAGTTGCATACAAGCTGTTACTTCCACCAGGCGCTGTTGTCCATCCGGTCTTCCACGTCTCGCAGCTACGTTCTTCTCCTGGCAATCAACAGGTATCGCCATCTCTACCTTCTGACTTGCGTTAGCAGATTTCGCTTGGTCTTTGTGAACGCACGTTGGACATCCGGCTCTACCGTGGCGCAAGGCCTTATCCAGTGGTCTCAGTCACCTTCGGAGCTATCTACTTGGGAGCCGCTCGAGCAACTCCGCCAATGCAGTTTCATGAGCACCAAAGATGGGGACATGCTTCGGTTTCAAGATGGGGAATGTCAGCACCGCTCACTTTGTGCCGTGTCTGATGAAGAGGATGCGCCTGGTGTTGAAGAGGAAGCTGCTTTGGCCGTCCGGCCCAGAAGACTGCGTCGGCCTAGTACAAGAATAGTTGGCTCAATGTGGCAAGTCTGAATCCATGTATTAAGTAGGAGCAAGAAGAGAGGAGTCGGCATGAATGATGGAGAAAAATACTAAACACTGCTTTGAGTAAATCCGGCCATCACGTCGTTCGCTGCTTGTTCATCCTGTTCTTCCTATTCCAAGTATTTTCTCCTTACAGAATTACTGTTTCTTTATTTAATTATTGGGATAAAGAAACATATGCTTGTTTTACTTTGCTGACCATTTTATCCCTTCTGTGTAACAAACTCCTGGTTTGAATACACTTGTTACCTTTCGAGTAACGAAGAACAACGCTAGAACTTTATTAGTGTCAATAGGCGAGCTTTTTTTTTTGTCTGTCAATAGGCGAGCTTGATTAGTGTGGATGCGTGCCGGTGAGCACTCAAGGAAAGATTTCCATGAAGCAAGAGCTCATTCTTTCATTCCTCCAAAAATATAGATTTGTTATAAAAAAAACAGATTTGTTCGTCGTTTCAGTGAACCGGATTTCTATCATTTCATCCATTCCTTTGTGTCAAAAATATACATCGACACCATTCACAGCATCTCTTGCCTAGTACCAGTAGTAATGACCTTTATGTACAGTGGGTACTAGGATTACGACGGAGTTTGCAGGTCTGCACCGGCACCGTCGTCCACTAAGAATCAGCTCTATTTTTTCAGTTATAGATTTTTTTTTCACAACAAATTAGCCATACGGCAGCAGTAAATCGTGCCGAACAGAGCCCGAGACTCGGCGTCCGTATGCATTTTCTCTACTCTAGGTACTGTATGCAACTCAGCGACAACGACAAGGCTGCCGGGGGCATGCATGCCACCCTCAGATTGCAGCGCTGGTCATCGTACAGATCGAGTTAACGGCCTGCTCCAGGCCCAGCAACAACCAAGCAACTTGTCCATTCTGCCGAGCCCAGCGGCCGGCTCCTGAACATATCAAAGGCAAGGTCACGTAGTTGTAGGGCCAATGCCTGAACATATCATAGATGTTAGTATATATAATACAGTTCTCGGTTTTAGGACTCAAATAATTTTAAAGTCAATCAGATGTATAAAAAAAATACTAACACCTATGATATCGAAGCATTATTAGATTAATTATATGAAATACCTATTTAGAGAGAAATATTAATAATATTTTCTATGCATTTAACTAAATTTAACAAAGTTTGACTTGTTTCCAAATTTCAAATTGTAGTTTTCTTTGAAAGAGTGGAATGTCTGTGCGGACTCGATGCGTGCGTGCAGGAGCCATGGACCTGGGCCCGTTCCTCTGCCTGCGCGGCGCTGCCAAGCGTCGTCTCGTCCCTGTCCAGCACCACCAATTCTTCTTCTTTTTTCCCCTTTATTATTTTCTTTCGTACTCGTGTCATCATATATCCGTGTTATTCCCCACCAATCGGTGGACATGTGATGCGCTGCTGAAATACGGTCCGCAATCAAATCTGCCAAGGACGGGGGTGACCCCGATTGATGAACGTTCAACGAATCAACGGATGTCCTGCTGCCGATCCTCTCGCGGGTCGCGGCGTGCCGTTCTTGTTGCCCAGGCAAAGCGTTTCGTGTTGATGCAGGACAGGAGCGGGAGTAGCCATCGCTGTTCTTCTCCGTTGACGGCCGGCCTAGAAGAGAAGCCGGTGAATTCAATTGAACAGTTGTGAAAGTGCCGCGTATCTGTATTGGCTGATGAATGCTTAGGCCATGTTTAGATGCGAAAATTTTTAGCTTTTGGCTACTGTAGCATTTTTGTTTGTATTTGGCAAAAATTATCCAATTATAGACTATTTAGGCTTAAAAGATTCGTCTCATCAATTACGAGCAAACTGTGTAATTAGTTATTCTTTTTATCTACATTTAATGCTCCATGCATGTGCCGCAAGATTTGATGTGACGGAGAATCTTGAAAAATTTTGGATTTTGGGTGGGATCTAAACAGGGCCTTATTATTGTTTCTCTCTAGCGAAAGTTTGGTCCTATCACGTCGAATTTTGGACACATGTATAAAGTATTAAATATAGACTAATTATGAAACTAAATACATAGATTGAGGTTAATTTGCGAGACGATTTTTTAAGCTTAATTAGTCCATAATTTGATAATATGGTGATACAGTAAACATGTGCTAATGATGAATTAATTAGGTTTAATAAATTCGTCCCAAGATTATGAGGATTTCTGTAATTTATTTTTTATTATTATCGAAACACTCAATATGACATCCTCATATGACCCCGATGTAAGGATAGTCCCTACATAGTTTCTATACCCTAAGACTCTCACTAAACCATTTCTTCCAATGTAAATGCCATATTCGTTTAGCTGATAAGTCATGTCTGAAAGTATTGTTAGCTGATTTATTGTGAGAAAAAATATTATTTATTGACTGAAAAATACGGCTTATAAGAGAAGCGAACACGACCATAGTATTTTTTCAAAGACCTAGCTAAAAATCTAGCCAATCATTCTCTGATTGCTTCTCTCTCATCTGAATCCTCTGTGCACGGGTCTCTGTGGTCGACGAGCGGCTTGAGCTCCTCCGCGTCCACGCACGCCCACTCCTCGCCGCGCCGGCAGCCGCACGAGCGAGCTACAATCGGCGGCGGCACATGAGCTCCGACGACCATTGCCTGTGATTTGCAGTGCCTGGCCTTCTCGAATCCATTGGCGTAGCACTCGAAGTCGTTGACGGTCATGTTGATCTCCTCCTCGGTGTTCATGACAAACGGGCTCCCCGATGGGCTCTCCGCCGATGAGCAGGAAGCGAGCAGCTGCGCGCCTGCTGCTGCGCGAGCGACTGCGCACCTGCTGCCGCGTGAGCGACTCTGCTCCGGCGGCCGCGCTAGCAGCTCCGCGCCGGTGGCTAGGCGAGCCAGGGTGAGGCGGCGGTGGCGCACGCGTGGGCGGTGGTGCGGGCGGCCGCGCTGGAGCTCCGCACGGCGGGCGGCGCGCATGGCGTGCGACGGCGCCGGACGGCCGCGATGGAGTTCCGCGCGCCTCCTGGCTCGGCTCCCTTCCCTGCTCGTCTCAGGCACGTCGCGACGGGAGCTCTCTAGCGAGTTGGCCGCGGCCGCGTAGCGCACAGGATCTAGCGGAAGGAGGAAGAAATCAATCCGTCTCTCCCAACGCGGTAAAGAGTGATTTCTACCGTCTCGATGCATGCGTACAGTCGGTTTCCCCCTTATACTCGGTTTCCATATTTTTTACTCTCTCTTGACCACGGTGGTTTCTGTATCGTGGGTGCTCTAGCGCCTCTGAACTTTAAACTTTAGCCTATGTATTTAAACACCCTTAGACATCCATTTAAAAAACCGTAACGCAACTTGAATTTTACTGTGATGTGGTACAAGTTACGTTACGTGTGCTCTGAAAATATGTGACACTGTCTCCAACAAAGAACCCATATGGGCATCTAAATTTAAAATGGGTAGCAAGAGACCCAAAATCAGCCTTCAACAGAGTACCTATACGGGAGACCTATTTTATGTTGCCTGAGAGGCACAACCCAAATATGGACATCCTCTCTCTCCGAAAACTCATTTGCAGAAAGAATTCTCTTTTGGGTCTTATTGTTGGATAAGATGCCAAATATATATTAAATATTTTACATGTAACATTATCAAAAAATGAATATGTCTTATATTTTTTGTGGTGTTGTCGGAGATAGCCGACAGGCTTGAATTCTATTTGCTGCCTCATTCTGCCTTTTGTACAGTGCGTACGTAACCCAGTCCTGTGCTGTAGAAGCAGGACACTAGGAGTTGACATGGAGGTACAAATCTACAGTTCCAAATACGGCTATGTTCGCTTGAACTTATAAGATAGAATCAATCATATTTTTTCAAACATTAAATAATATTTTTCTATCGCAATAAATCAGCCTTACAAATCAATCGCATCACGTCGAACAGAGCCTTTGTTCCGTTCCACGTCAGTACTGTGGCGCTGACTGAAGACTGAACCCCTGTTTGTGATTAACCTGCATGACGAACTTGTACCGCGAGTCCGCGAGACGTTGCAGGCTTGCAGCGGCGTGGAGTGAGGAGCTGTAACCAGTAATGGCATCGCAGCGGCGTGGTAAGAACTAAGAACACGTTCCTCTGTTACCATAAAGCTATACACTAAACCATTCGGTCTGTTTGGCCAATCATTTTGCCCTTTTGATTTGATACTTCCATTCCATTCCATTCCATGTTAGTACTAATTGATTCCCTGTTTGCCATTGCTGTAACTTGTCGCATGTCACACGGTGATTAGCTAAGCCGATTGACCAATCCAGCATAACTCGTCGCAGGCATGGACCATGGAGAACAGTACAGCACACTGGAGTTTCACAACCAACCATAGGGGGAAAATCACTTTTGCCACATTCATATTTGACTCCCCTGTACACAAATACAATCAATCGCAGCAGCTATGCCACCACGTGATCAACCACCCACATTTCTACATCTCAATCAACCTGAGCTAACTAATAATACTAACAAGAAACTAAATAATCCTGTATGGTTACTGCTGTAGCTACTATAACTGCACTAAACGCACCTAATAATTAATTAGTAATGCACCTAGCAGCTCGACCACCATCAACAACCCATATGTATCCACGGCTACGAGTCGGCCACGAGCGGCGGCGAGCCGGGCGGCCGGAAGATGCCCTGCCCGGTGGCCAGGATGGCCCGCGGGTCGAACTCGGCCTTGAGCCTCGCGAACCGCTCCCACCTGGCGGCGCCGAAGTGCTCCGCCCACTCGTGCTGCGCCTTGTGGTTGGGCAGGTACTGCTTGGCGCCGATGCCCGCCTCCGCGCAGAAGTCGAGGATCCGCTGGTTCTGCCGCGCCAGCGCCTCCAGGCTCTCCGGCGCGCCCGGCAGCGCCGACCGCAGGAACGCCACCAGGTAGAACACCTCCTCGTCCGGGGTCACCACCGAGCTCCTCGGGTCCCACCTGCGCGCGCCAACCAACAAACAAGCACACCCGGTCAGCTCACGGTCCAGTTCAGATTTCTTTAGAACTGCAATTGCCAGATTACCTAACCGACTCGAAAAAGGTTTGGAATACGGACAGCAGAGTATGGAAAAAGCAGCGGTTTTTAGCAGGATCGTCTGATGATTCTGATACGGCTTTTTAGGCTGGTTGTGTATGCGCTGAAGCTGAAAAGCAACAAGCAATTGGTGCATCTACCTGGCCACTGACGCCCAAACGAAAGTAAAAGGCGATCGGGTCTCGGGCCTCGGCTAAGGAATGCCAATTCTGACCGCGCCGAGCTCGTTGCGCCCTGTAAAGCTCTCGCGGCGCCGGTTTTAAAATGGCTGGTCGGCGCCACCAGCCGCGCGCGAGATTGATGATGGGCGCTGCATCGCGTCCATGGCGGTAGAATAGAATAGGCCGTGTCGCGCAAGTGCGCGGTATGTCCGCGGCCATTCAATCAGGCGCCAGATTCGGCTCACGCAGTTCGGCAATTGATTAATCCGCTTTTGCCGCTGATGGGCTGGTGATTTGTGTGCGTGGCGCCAATCATGGCACACTCGATCGCAACACATGATGAGCGAGATCGAGCGAGCCGAGCCGCCGCCACCTGCGCTGCGCGTGCGGTGCCGTCCGCATGTGTGCGCCGCATGTGAGGGAGCCGGGCGGCGCCGTCGGACGGCGCGGAAACGTGCGTGGCGGCTCATGTGCTGTCCCCGTGTCCCGTGCGCTGCATCAGCATGTGGGATGGAATGGAAGGTTGGTTGGAAGCGCGGGCGGGGACTGGGACGGCGACGCGCCGCGCGCACGTGGCGGCGGCAGATCGATGAGCTAGCGCACGCGCAGCCAGCCAGGCGCGCGGCTTCACGCGATGCGTCTCCTAGGACTGGGAGGAGTAGTACTTGACTTGTGACTCGTGTTAATTTGTGGGTTGACTTACTTGTGCTTGTTCATGGGGTAGATGAGGATGGGGCCGCCGGCGCCGGCGGTGCGGACCCCCAGCACGCCACGGAAGACGCCGCGGTCGAAGTCGGCGATGCGGGACGCCGGCACGAAGAGGTTCAGCCACGGGTGCGGCACCTCCCACATACCCTTGGCGCGCAGCTTCAGCTCCGCCTTGTGCACGCGGTCCAGGAAGTCCACGTACGGCAGGTCCGTCGTGAACACCGTGCCGGGGAGGAAGTTGAGCTCGCCCAGCAGCGCATCCACATCCTGAATGAAAGAGAACAAAAATTAATTCGAAATTTCCTTAGTATATAGTAGGTTTCTCCGTGCTGCTGTTTGCTACTGCTGCTGCTGCTGCAAGATACTAAAATATTGCTGCAAGATCTAGTAGCAGCAATGCAAGGTCCTCTTTTCTATGTTCTATCTACACTCATCCGGGCTTCAATTAGGTCCAGTTTAGTTGCAAAAAATTTTGCAAAATTTTTAAGATTCTCCATCACATCGAATCTTTGGACGCATGCATGAAACATTAAAAATAAATAAAAAATAAAACTAATTACACAGTTTAGACGAAATCCACGAGACAAATCTTTTAAGCCTAATTAGACTATAATTGGACATTAATTGCCAAATAACAACAAAAACTGCTAAAGTGTTATTTTGCTAAAAAAAATTGACATCTAAACAAGACCTTAGTATACTAAGGCTATTATTATTATACGGCCTAAACCAGCTATTACAACTAACTGAAGGCATGGCTCCAATGATTAGCTCCTGGCTCGCCGCCCTAAAATGGGGCGGTTTCTTTGTCTGACATTATTTCATTTCCCAAACCGAACCATATCAGAGCACGTCATATAAAGAAAGAAAAGGCGGCGGACCTGGTCGACCGACCCGGCGGTGTCGTCGTCGTAGTTCTTCGTGACCTCGAGGCAGTAGAGGACGCCGGAGTGGTGCTTCAGCGAGCTGAGCTTCACCGGGTTCTGCGGCGAGAAGAAGGAGGACCTCCAGTTGTTGATGAGGCCCTCGGCGGCGACGACGAAGCCCTCGACGTAGTCGAACCGGCGGCCGCCGCTGCCGAGGGAGATGAGGTGCTCCTGGTCCGCCGTGAACTCGGTGAAGTTGGAGTAGAGCGCCCGGATCCACCGAACCTGCAACCACCAGCCATGCATCCCGGCCGCTAATTAGCGTCTCCTTAGATTACAGACCCGATTCATTAGCAGAGGAATAAAATCTTGCGAAAGATTACGACGGCTAATCGGTGAGCAGAGCAGGGGGCAAGTTGATCGGCGACGGGGACCCATGGATCGGCCCCAACCGACCCGTGTACCACCTGACCGGATGACGTATATAATAAATAAATAAATTTTGCTACTAGTACTAGGCCGTGTTGAGTTCCCTCGCATTACAGAATTTAATACTATGCAAAAAGAAGATTCTCCGTCACAGGTAATGTATGTAGTACTAAATGTTGATGAAATCAAAAACTAATTGCACAGTTTGGTTGTACTTTGCGAGACGAACGTTTTGAGCCTAATTAGTCAACAATTGAACAATTATTACCAAATAAAAACAAAACGACACTGTAAGTACAGACTCTGACGAACAGTGTAACGAGAAGACTGTTCCGGTAGCCCATCCGATCGAAGCAAAGCCGGATCGAGGAGCTATGCTGTCGGAGTACGCGTACGTGTCGGACTTGCCCTGAGCCTCCATCCTGCCCATCAGGTAGTAATTAGCAGCACGTACGCGTGTGGGTCTTTTTCGGACGCTACACTGCACATGTGGCAGCCGTTTGCGCCTAACAGAGAGTTAGCGGCCGGCAGAGCGGCGCTTTCCTCAACGGACCAGCGGCGCGCTCGTCACTTGCATGGCCGGCCGGTGTGGTTGAGATCCCTGCTGGGTCGGTCACTAGTTGGAAAGCGAGGCCGGTGACACGCGACGGGAGGAGACATATGCTCGGTTTGTTTGGCTGATATAAGTCATATATGAAAGTATTATTGATTGATTTGTTATGAAAAAAAACCGTTAGTTGGCTGGAAAA